TCGTTGGACACGAGACATGCTGGTAAAAGTTTGGCATGACTTGTCTGAGGTTCGCTTTGTTAAAGTCTCCTGCTACAATGAGGGCTGCGCCCGGGTCCTTGTTTGAAGCGAGCTCAGCACATCATGTAATTCGGACAAAGCCATACCTGTGTCCGCTTGGGGTGGGATGTAGACCACCATGGCGATGACCGAAGTGAACTCACGGGGCAGATAGAAAGGGCGGCACTTAATGCTCAGGAACTCCAGATGTGGCGAGCAGCCGCTGGAGAGAGTAGAAATGCTCCTGGCATCACACCACTTTCTGTTCGTCAATATGCTAGCGGAGGAGATTATCCCCACTGCGAGAGTCACCATATTCCCAAACCAGAAACCGTGGATGGACAGATCGATCCGCACTGCAGTAAACGCCAGGACCGCCTCCTACAACGCGGGTCTCGCCACTGGCGATATGAGCGCCTACAAAGCGGCCTCATACGGCGTGCGGCGCGCGGTGAGAGATGCCAAACGCCGGTACCGGGAACATGTGGAGTCCCGCTTCCACCAGGGCGACACACGGAGTATGTGGCACGGACTACGCACCATTACGGACTACAAAGCCAGGGACATTGCGCCGATCAACGCCGACTCTGCATTCACCAACGAGCTGAATCGGTTCTACGCCTGTTTCGATGTTAGCCAGGCGGCTAATGCTATCTACTGCCTGACTACCGAGGACAGTGACGTCATCAGCGAGAGACCGGTGACCAGCATCGCGGAGCATGATGTCCGAGCGGCACTGAGGAGAGTGAACACAAAGAAAGCGGCGGGGCCAGACGGCATCACCGGCCGTCTGCTGCGCTGCTGTGCTGACCAGCTAGCAGGTGTGTTCACTTACATCTTCAACGAGTCCCTGGCGAAGTCTGTGGTCCCCACATGCTTCAAAAGATCCACCATCATCCCTGTGCCCAAGAACAGCAAACCCTCATCCCTGAACGATTACCGGCCAGTTGCACTGACCTCGGTAGTAATGAAGGTGTTTGAGAGGCTGCTGAAGAACATCATCTCCTCCTCCATCCCAGACACCACAGATCCGCTGCAGTTCGCCTACAGATCCAACAGATCCACAGAGGATGCCATCGCCCACGTCCTACACACCACTCTCAGCCACGTGGACAAGAAACAGGGTAACTATGTGCGAATGCTGTTTGTTGATTACAGTTCAGCGTTTAACACAATAGTGCCCTGCAGACTGTTCACAAAGCTCAGGGATCTAGGATATGACAGCCGTCTGTGTGCATGGGTGTTGGACTTCCTCACTGGCAGAACTCAGGTGGTGAGGGTGGGCAGGTGCTTCTCCAACAGCATCACCATCAACACAGGAGCACCTCAGGGATGTGTCCTCTCGCCACTGCTCTACTCCCTCTACACTTCAGACTGTGTGGCCACCCATGGCTCCAACACCATTGTGAAGTTTGCTGACGACACAGTGGTGTTGGGTGCCATCTCCAACAACGATGAGGCGGCCTACATGGAAGAAGTGAAGAATCTGGCATCGTGGTGCCAGGACAACCACCTCCAGCTGAACGTCAGCAAGACCAAGGAGCTGGTGGTGGACTTCAGAAGGGGTCAGCACAGAGACTACAAGCCCATTATCATCAATGGAGCTCCAGTGGAGAGGGTGCAGTCCTTCAAGTATCTTGGTGTCCACATCTCCTCAGACCTAACATGGGCTGCCCACATTCAGGTCCAGACCAAAAAGGCTAGGCAGCGCCTGTATCACGTACGACAACTGAGGAAGTTCAGGGTCTCTCCAAAGATCCTCAGGATTTTCTATACAGGCGCTGTGGAGAGCATCCTCACACAGAACATGACATCGTGGTTCGGGAACAGCTGTGTGAAGGACCAAAAAGCTCTCCAGAGAGTGATCCGTACAGCAGAACGCTGCTGCAGGATTGCTCTCCCCCCGCTTCAGGACACCTACACCAGGAGATGCCGGACTAGAGCAGCGCAGATACTGAAGGACCTGTCCCATCCTGGCAACAAACTGTTCCAACTTCTGCAATCTGGTAGAAGGTTCCGCATCTTCCGGGCAAGGACAGAGAGACTCAAGAGGAGCTTCTATCCCCAAGCCATCCGTGCCCTAAACACACACACCCGCCCTCTCACATCATCTATAATTGACTGAGACAGGACTCTCTTCCAGACACTCTAAACCAAGGAACAATGTACATTTCAAATTCCTTTAATTTTAAATATGTTTATATTGTCTATCCTGTAAAATAGTCAGATGTCTATTCATATTAATGTACAGAATTCACCTGCTTGCTGCTACTACTGCACATTCACCCAGTGTATATACTATATGTATATGTATGTATATATATATATATATATATATATAATGTTCTTCCTCTACACCCCCCCCCCCCCCCCAATTTTTGCACATGTCGAGGAGCGTGTCAGGCTACATTTCACTGTGTGTTATACTTGTATAACTATGCATGTGACAAATAAAGAACCTTGAACCTAATTACTTTACTTTGTGCTTGTAGATAAATTAATCAGTGAATGGTTAAAGTGTGATCAGTACTGTAGCAAGTTTATTCTTCATGATGTTTTAATGTTTTACTTATTTTGTTTCTTCAACAGCAAGTAAACCCAGAGCCACACTGACAGCACACAGTTCAATCATACCAGCAGGGGGCAGTGTGACACTGAGATGCTCTGTGGAGGGCTCTGCTGGCTGGAAGTTTGACTGGTTCAGACGTGATTCAGTCTCTTCTAAAGCTCAGCTCATGAGAGAAAATGAAGAAAACAGAGTTATGAGTGTCTCACAAGGAGGTCTGTACCACTGCAGAGGAGGGAGAGGAGATCCAGTTTACTACACAGAGGACAGCAGTGATGTCACAGTTGCAGAAACGTGTGAGATTAATAATTTTATTTCTGCCAAACTGAGAGATGTCATTTTGTGTTCTGTGCTAACAATTTTATTCAATAACGGTGAGTTAATTAACCCTGAAATGAGTGACAACTCCTGACAAATAGAAGAATTTATTCCATCTTATTTTTTTTATCTTTATGTTTCTATTTGTGTCTAACTGGATATTTGTCTGTGAACAGTTCCCAGTAAGCCCACTGTGACCCTGCAGCCATCCTGGACTCAGATATACAGCAGTGAGACAGTCACTGTCAGATGTGAGATTCAGGGAGGTGAAGGAGCTCAGTGGACGTATGAATGGAGAGCAGCCAAGTTAAACACACCTCCAACATCCAATGAATACAGAATCATCAGAGCTACTGAGTCTGACAGTGGAGGATACAGCTGCCGGGGCAGAAGGGACTATTTCTTCTCAGAGTGGAGTGATATCATCACACTGACTGTGTCATGTAAGATCTTTCATCCAGAGTATCTAAATAAGGAAAAAGCACTTCTTCTTTCTTACAGCTTTATAACTGTCTTTCATGTTGGTCAGTAAAATGTTTAGTTTTTTTTCCAACAACAAAAACCTGAACAGCAGCTTTTTATTCACAGTGAAGAGAACAAAACATATGAGAGTAACTTCTCTGCTGTGCAGCTCTAATACATGAAAGATGAAATGCAGAACAAATGCTGAATCTGTCTCAGCTGCTTCACCACATCCACTAAGAAACATTAAATCCACTGATTGTTCCTCATGTGTGTTTTTAACTTAGAAATGCAGCAAATTAAATATGAAAGATTAGTGTTGCATTTGTGTGATAGTTGTACAGTTTGTTGCAGCTTCACCATTAAAGTTATGTGATAATTATTATTTCCATATTTCCACCAAGTTATTTCAACTGGTTTGATTCAGTCATTGACTTTTGTTCTTTGTCTAAACTGAACTGCAGATAAACCAAAGGCCAAACTGAGAGCTGATAACACAGCTGTTCCAGTAGGGGGCAGTGTGACCCTGACCTGCTCTGTGAACCCATCATCATCATCTGGATGGAAATACTACTGGTACAGAGATGAGAAATCCTCTGAAGCCCTGACCACACAAGATGCAGTTTTCCACTCAAATGGACAAATCAGTGTCTCACAGGAAGGACTCTACAGGTGCAGAGGAGGAAGAGGAAACCCAGTTTACTACACAGAGGACAGCCAGTCAGTCAGGATTGGGAAAACTGGTGAGTTTAACATAAAGTCAGATAAATTCCTGATTAAGGAGGAAGATGAAGAACAAAAGGCATTAACATTTTTGATATTCATGTGTTTTTATTGTACTTTCTTGAACAGTAACAGCCTCAAACAGACCTGTTGTGACTCTGTATCCAAACTGGTCTGAGATATACAGAGGAGAGACGATCACTGTTAGATGTGAGATCCACGGAGGAGACACTGAGTGGGATTATGAGTGGGAAACAAACAGCATGATAAAAGCTCCAAATCAAAATGAATACAGGATTAGATCTGCTTCATCATCCAACAGTGGAAACTATCGCTGTAAGGGCAGAATGAAAAGTTCACAGCATGAAACAACAGAGTGGAGTGATTCAGTCACACTGACAGTTTCTGACAGTAAGTAGAGTCATAGTTCATTTAACCTGGAAATAGAAACAGTTTGTAAAAATGTGTTTTTATTAGTACATGTTGAGATATTTGACATGTTTAGATAGTCTCACTCTTAAAGTTCATCATAAATATTTGTGAGTCAACATTTTAGTGACATTGAATTCAGAGTTAAGAGATGAAACATTGAGAGCAAATCTTTGTTGAACAGATGAACCCCGTCCTGTCCTCACTGTGTCTCCATCATGGCTGAGTCCTGGAGCCTCAGTAACTCTGAACTGTGAGGTTGAACATCCGTCTGCAGGATGGAGCTTCTACTGGTATAAAGCTGTTCCTGATCTATCAGAGAAATCCTCCAGTTATGAGCTGCTACCTGATGGCAGTGGGACTGCACAGGACTCCTACATCATTCATGGACAGACACACACAGCAGGATATGTGTGCAGAGCTGGAAGAGGAGACCCAGAGTATCACACTGATCACAGTCGACCAAAGTTTGTCTGGTCTGCAGGTCAGTTTGATTCTGTTTAATAAGTTGTGTCATCACTGTAATCCACCAAGATTCAACTCATCATTTTTTTTTCTAATATTAATTTGATATTTTGAATCCTAACATCTGTGAGCTTTGTCTCTTCACTGCATGTTGTTTCCAGATGTTCATTCAGCAGCGTCTCTCACAGTGAGTCCTGACAGAGTGCAACACTTCACCTCTGACTCTGTCTCACTGACCTGTGAGGGAAACTTCACTGAGTGGAGAGTGAGGAAGTTCTCTGAGGACGGCCGACTCTCTGTCTGTAGGAGAATGACTGGATCCACATGTGACATCAACACATCAAAGTCAGATACTGCAGTGTACTGGTGTGAGTCTGGATCAGGAGAGTTCAGCAGTGCAGTCAACATCACTGTACAGAGTATGTTATTATACATTTACTACTTGGATCTGAATCATTTAAACGTGACATGAACATTTGTCCCAGCTTTGCTGTATGTGAAGTCATTTCATGTGGAGAAAAATAAAACACATACAGCAGTTTTTAAACATAGAAGATCAGATCTTCATGATGAAAAGCATTTGTACAATCTGTTCTTATTATTGTTTGTCAGCTTTTTCTCAAAGTGTGCACCAGCTGATGTGACTGAAACAATTGTGTGTGATTGTGTCACAGATGATGGTAATGGTCCTATCCTGGTGAGTCCTGTTCATCCTGTGACTGAGGGAGCTTCTGTTAGTCTGAGCTGCAGTTTGAGAACACAAAAAATACTTTCCAATGTGTTTTTCTATCACAATGACAAACTTATTCAAAATGATCCCCGAGGGGAGCTGAAGATCTCTGCAGTGTCAAAGTCTGATGAAGGTTTCTACAAGTGTCAGTACTCAGGAAGAGAGTCAGCACAGAGCTGGATGTCAGTTAAAGGTGAGCAGGATCAAAACATCTGATGGATTTTGTAAATGAGTTTAATGACTGAGAAGGAACATTAGATTGTCTGATTTAATTCTCAAAGTCACTTGGCTCTATTTTATAAATGCATTTATTTATAAGATTATAATTTATTAATAATTAATTTCTGTTTGTTGTTACAGTAACTGTGTCAGGAGCTGACAGCTCTTCGTCTCCTGTGTGGTTGATGGTTCGACTGGTTTGTGGAGTCTCTCTCATTATTATTCTCCTGCTCTTGTTGCATCGCTGCAGACAGTCCAAGTGTAAGAGCCTCTTTTCTATTTTTATTATTATTCATATTACATTAGGAATCTTTCAGGGTTACTAAACTAAATGATGACTTTATTGTAGAAATTAAACTCAGTACAAATCCAAATTTAAATAAAAGTTGGAAACCACATTTCTACAATTCTTAGGAAAACAAACTATGAGGAAGGATGTGACAAAGCAAAGGAAAACTGAGGCAGTTTATAAAACACATGATAATGAGATGATGAGTAACAGGTGTTAACTAACTAACTAAAGCCTCTTTTCCATTAGTAATTACTCAGATCGACTGGTTTTCCATCACGCTCAAGTACCACCTAATGTGTGTGGCCATTGTCATAGTGACGTGGTCGAGCACCCCATGACTTAATTAGTATTTGTCACAAATGATTCAACAAAGGTGAACATCGCGGTAATGATATACCTGCTGCTCGGTCATCTTTCTATAGACTCGGGGGCCACGGTGTTGCTTGTGTAGCCATTTCTGGGTTGCCGGGTTTCAAAAATGGCTTTTTTATTTTATCAACAAGACGCTCTCATAACTCATCGAGTGATGCCACTGACCAGTCAATCGGTGGCATGTACTCTATTGACGTCACATTTTGGGATCACCTTGGATCACTTGGAACTCCAGCTGAGTAAATACTAAATAGTTCTATGATCTGATGGAAAACCCTGAAAACCTTGTTTTAGTTACTAATGGAAAACATGTTAACAGAATGACACAAGATACAGGGGAGAATAAAACAGGAAATGACTGACACTGAGACCTCGAGTAAGTGGTCAGCACTTAAACCGATCTTTATTATCATTATTAATATTGACTCTTCATTCATCTCCATTAACAGGAACCTTTCTTAGGTTCAGTTTCATCCAAATAACCAACTGACTACATGCACAAAAGATCAGAAACAAACAGGATTTTACAACCTGATTGTATCTTTAACTCGACTGAAAGAATTCACAAATGTTGTTGTTTCATATCAGAACAACAGAAACAGTAACACCATGATGGGTTCATGCTCTGAAAATATCTGATAGTCCTGTTGTTGATTTAAACACAACTAATGAAACTCTGTAAAAGGTTTTTCTGTTTTTTCATTTATCTTTGAAAAATGTGTCATGTTGGTTTTCATGTGTGAGCCACTGAAACACTGGTGCAGGACATCATGTGAAAAGCACAGAGCAGCTAGAGATGAAACAGTCTTTTAATTTAAGGAAACTGGCACCATGTCATTGGTTTACAATTGTGTAACTAAAATATGAACATTTTAGGTGCAGATAAACCCCCAGATGTCATTTACTCTAATATTGAACTGGAAAACTTTGGAAATAAGTGTGAGTACACAAAATATACAATGTAGAAGAAAAGCCTGGAAAGTTTTTGAAACGTTTAAAAATGTATTAAATGTTTTTCTTTTGTGGATTCGATCATCTTAACAGGGAAGCATCACAAAGCAGAGCAAAGTGCTGTTTACTCTGAGGTGAAGACAGCAGATGCAGGTACAGTCACAACAGTCTCATTCAGTGTTTGTACTTGAACGTGTCATCACATCATTATATTGCAGGTAATTATAGGTCAACATGGAGTTTAGTTATTCACTTACTAATCAGTGTTTCAGCTTTACTGAATCACAGCATCCACAGATTCTGACCCAGACCTCAATCACAAAACACAGACATGCAAAGCTGAAGTGTCACAGGCAACAAATGATTTTTACTTAGATTTCTTTCCCTGTAGTTGTAAAAAGTTTAAATTCATGTGTATCCAACATGTTTGTATCATATCTGTGCTGAACAAATGTGTGCTGAGCTCTGACGTCTCTTTTAGAGGACAGTCTGATGTATGCTGAGGTCAAACAGCCCAAAAAAGAAAAAGCCAAGAAAAACAAAGGTGAGCAAAGTCTGCCATCATCTCCACTGAATATTGTTCAACATGTTTATCTGCTCTTACAATGTAAATCTGTTTATATTAATATTTGTATTTAGGTCTTCATGCGTACTAATTACTTGGTTAATAAAATCTAGTTCTATCTTTGCATCAGTGGAGACATCCAGTTTCCTCCTGGTTAATGATATTATTGTTTTCAATCATCTTCTCTTCATTCACAGGAAAATCAAGTCCTGCAGCTGATGCAGCAGTTTATTCTGAAGTCACATCAGGAAGCTCTCTCAGTAATTCTGCTGCCATGCAGGCTGATTTATTCTTCACATTATTAAATGTCTTCAGCTCATAATATCTTTACATGTTGGAAATCACTTTGTCTCTTTGTGCTTGTCTTACAGGTCAGTGAGGACAGCTGTAGCAGCAAAGCCAAGAAGAAGCTTTTTATGAAGCCACTCTTGCTCCTCTGCTGCCCAAATATCAGACATGCTCAGCTTTATGTGCAGTTACAATATTAAGTAATAATATCCTATAGACTGAGTACTCTCTTATAGCATAAAGCATATTTCTATTTGAAATCTATGCTCTATACATTCAGCTGTTTTTATATTCATTCTTAAAGCTTTCTTTTTATAAAACCTTAAATTTTCCTGTTTCAGCATCAGTGAGAACAAAGTGTGAAATATGTGATCTTAGAAGCTGATAGCTCGAGTTAAAGTCAGCAGTGTTACGTTAGAAAGTACTGTTATGAGCACCTACAGATACTTTTACTGTATTTGTTTAAAGATCTAAATGATATAAAAATGATCTGATCAGTACTGTATGGATTTGAATGTAATGAATGTTTTTCTTGTTTTCTTTTTTGTTTTGTCTTAAACATTTGTAACAATTTCATGTATTTATAGTTAGAAGTTTGTTCCTGCTAAATGAATAAATAACAACAGATGATCGTGTGTCATTTACCTGTATATTTTCCATGGTGTTCATCATAAAATAAAGGAAGAAAAACTTAATTCAGACAGAGTAGCGATCTACAGAATTCCGAACTGGAAGATCATGTTTATAAATCAAATTAATCCATAAAGAGACACATTCCCTTTATTCACCTGGTTTTAGGTAATTCTAGTCATTAATAACTTGAGAACAAACATGTCAGTACTTAAGATCAACATGTGAAGCAAACTCAACCTCCCAGTGTCTTCTGCAGAGATGAGCAGCTGTGATAGCCAGTGTTACTGTGGGACAGTATGTTTGAGGTCAGTTAAATTACACACCTTCCTGCTATGTGATGTTACACCATCCTCACCACCTCACTGCGCCTTGTCCTCACATCCAGCTCTGTGATGCCAAAACAGCAGCAAATGATCAGAAACAGTCAGTCATCAGCAATGTCCTATATATGAAGCACAACATGGTTAACAACTGCACGATAGCGAACAATGAACAAACACAAGGAAAAATGTCTACTGTGTCAAAGCTGACCCATCACTCAGTGGAGATTTGATTTAATAACTAACCAATCAGAGATGTTAGAGTTGTAAAAATGAGTGAAAGTCTCCTTCATGTGACTTACTTAACTGTGAAGCTGTGGTTTGTTTACTGCTGAGCTGCTCGTGTACAGTTTCCAGCCTATTGCAATCGGTCTTTTTGATCAACAGCACCAGAGCGCCTCCTGCTGACTCAATAAGACATTAGCTGAGTTCTGGTTATTTAATTTTAACCATGTCAAACTCATTTTACATCACAGGCCACATACAGCCCACTTTGAGTTTATGTGGATGGGACCAGTGAAAGTAATGTTTCAATTACACATGTAATCCTGAGATAGTTTATATTAAAAAAAATAAATGAAGTGCTAGTCTTTGTGTTTCAAATTTTAAAAAGAAATTTTGTAATATTACAGAAATCTATTATTTGATTACTCAGGTGTAGCTTGAAGGGCCAAGAAAATCTTCGTCAGTAGGAAAATCTTTAAAACTCATGAAAAAACAATTAAAAGTTCAACATTTCTGTTCTTCACATTTTCCTTCCAATAGTGCCATCTAGTAAGGTGGACTGGAGTCTGGCCCCCAGACCTTATGTTTGACATCCCTGACTTAACCTGTCACATTGTCATATTTACATTATCACGTTGTATCATGTATGAGAGGTAAATTCATATAAACCACTGTGTCAGCCTAGATCCTTTCTATCTGGAATAGCTGGTTTGGGGTTTTTTTGCACTTCAAGTTTTGTTATAATCAGCTAGAACAAAATTATTCAAATTATTTTAATGAAAATATAGACCAGTGGTGGCCAAAACTTAGATAAAGTCAGTTATGGGTCAGACTTTAAACTGAATAGAGACGTGGCCATTTTACTTATCAAATCCAACCTTTAACCACTATTCACCAGCCCTCCTTTATTGGGTATAACATTGCTTTCCTGAAGCTCAATCATGATGATCAGAATTTTTCAGTGTCAGTTAAATTATAATTTATGGCAAAGCCAATAACAGCAGAATGATGCACAGCACTGTTTTAGTTTCAGAACCACATAAAGACTGTCCATTTGAAATTAAGCAATTAAAACAGCAAAATTAATTACAGATGTGAAAATAAAAAAATCACTGTCCCTCCATACACCTTGTTCTTGTGCAGAATCAACATATCAGGTACTTAAATCCAAGAGTGGAGAATAGTTTGTACTGTGTCACATAGTAGGATCCATGTGGGAAGCCATGTTTACACTGATATTGAACAGAAGTGTTCTATATATGAAGCACCACGTGGTTTATTAACAACTGCAGGATAGTGAACAATGAACAGACACAACGGAAAATTTACTGTGTCAGAGCTGACTCATCACTCAGTGGAGATTTGATTTAATAACACAAACCAATCAGAGATATTAAATTAGAGTTGCAACAAGAGTGAAAGTCATCTTCGTGTTACTTACTTTTCTTTCTTTTCTTTTTTTTTTTACTTAAATAAAGTCAGATTAAAAAAATGTTTTTTACTTTTTTAAGTAGCAGACTTGGGGAAATGTTGATGGCAGCACACAGAATATGGAAAACTAAGCAGCCAAATCTGTGAAGTTGTGGTTTGTTAACTATTGTGCTGCAGGTGCACAGGCCGTCTGTTGGAGCCACAACAGCACTATGGTTCCCTCTACTGACTCGATAAGACATTACCTCAGTACTGACAATTTTTTAGCAAATGGATGTTAAACTCATTTTAAGTCTATAGTGTTCACATTTTTTCAGAAGGAAGTACAAGAAAAATATCTGTCATTTTAAAAAGACTTGATTTGCTTTGGCACTTGAAATTACAGGTTACAGCCCTATAGGGGCACCTAGGTGCATCATAAAGGGCCAAGAAGATCTTTACTAGTAGGAAAATTATAAAACTGACAAAAAAACAAACAAACAAAAAAAAGCCAATTAGATATGCACTTAAACATGCTGAATATGTTTATGATTAATTTGCTGCTTTTCTATCA